GGAAGATCCTCCATAGAACAAAAAAGCCATTAGTAATTTTGTGAAAATAAACTTGATTGTAGTTATTTTATAAACACTACAAAAATTGTCATTACTAGTTTTTGTTCTATTGTTGCCAGTTTGTTACAGAAACCAACCTGTAGAGTGTTGAATATTAAACATCTGTATCAGACAGAATAAAACAGATTTAAAATAGATAAATATGCACAATGTACAAGATGTGTCTGTAATGTCACATTATTAGGACAGCTGCTGATTCGGTGCACCGGACAAGGTGCCCTCTTTTTACATTTGAGCATCTGCCCCCGAAAAAGTCTGTGCACGCTACTGCTTTGTGATAAAAACAAAATATTTGACCAATTCTTTGTGACTTGAAGTAATTTGTACAGATGTTAAAATGATTGGTACAGTTTACAGAAAAACTTTTGAAAAAGTTATTTACTATTTTATTATAAGTTTTTGACATAAAACCCATCAAACAGCATAAACACATTTTGTATAGTATAGTTTAGTAATTTTATGGATATAAATGGATATTTGTTTATATATACAATAATAAATTCAAATTAAATATACTTGAAAGATTGATTTTATTTATTCATTTTATTGGGCTCAGGTCTGATTAAACAAGGTGGAAGTCAGCACCAAAGCATTGATTGTTATGACTCTGCCTGCCCTAAACATGTCTGCTTTTGTTAGTGTGAGCATGTATGCACAAACCATGGAAACCAGGTATTTTATTTGTACTGTTGAGGAATTAGAAAAAAATGTTTTATATTACCAAGCATCATAAATTACCTTGACCTTTGACAGTTTGATGCCCAGATCTAATCAGCCTGAGGACTACCCTAAAGGAGGTRCTATGCCTATTCATAAGTAAATATGTAATTTCATTCAGGAGATATTGTGCACACAAGACCACTCATGATGGTCAGACTCTGCACCAACAGACAGCCAGAGAACAGTATGTCTCTGGTCCCAGTGGGTGGAGGCTTAACAAGTTCATAGGGTTAGCTGTTCTGGGCCACCTTCTGCTATTGGGCTCACATGCATGCCTTTATAGTGACTAATACTGTCTCGCACCAAGGTTATAATAGTTTTGTATTTTTCATTAAMGTTTAGTTTTATTTTGTTGTGACATTTTTTCTTTTAATTCAGTTAGTTTTAATTAGTTTTTACAGTGGATTTGCTAGTTTTCATTAGTTATTATTGCATTTTAATGCTTAGTTTTAGTT